TGTTGATCAATTTCAGGCAAGGTTTGCTAGAGCTCTACTGAAAAAGAAAAAAATTGCATTTGATTACACTTCTTGCAAATCTGTCTTAAATTCTAAATGCTCCCTAGAGTCACTGGCCTATCGTCGTCAAATCATCAGTCTCATTACTTTTCACAGATATGTTTTCCATCATCGTGATTACCTTGCTGATTTCCATTTCAAGATTACGAATAGCGAGCGAAAATCATTCTTCCCAAATTTAAATCATTGTCTAAGTCTCTCTTCATGTTCCGAACTGCTATTCTTTAGAACTGTTTACCCCCTCCAGTCTAACATCTGAAGCCTCGCTCTATAAGTTCAAAGCTGCCCTCAGGAAATTTACAGCTGACCATGCTTATGCAATCAACGGAATTCCGCCACCTTGCAAGTTGATTTTCCCCATTTCTCTCCTCATCAATCCATACTTGTCTTTGTACATACATCTACATCTACTGTTCGTTCAATCAAATGAACCCCTCGATAGGCACATTGCCTTTGGGTCATTTCATAATAATAATAATAATAATAATAATAATAATAATCCGACGTGTACGGTAGAACGGGTAATTTTAGCGACGTAAAACCCTAGCGAATTTAGCGATCGACTCATTTTCGCTAAATTTTCAAGTCGATAATCCGTTGAGTCATTCGTACTAAAGTAGTGCACTGGTGATCCGTGAGTAAAATCGCTGCAATTCGCTAAAAATAAAACGTCGCTAACCAGTTGACAATGGGAAAACGCTAAAATTAATAGTCGCTAAAATTACCCGTTGTACAGTATTCTAGTACTGTACTCAATTTATTAATAATTATTACTTGTATGTGTGTACATTTATGTACTCGGATGGAGAGCCAAGGAATAAATTTATAGTAAAGAAAAAGGACCAAGAAACTACTTCGAAGTACAAGTTACGCAATTATGTCCACTGACACCACCAGTTACTAACAAACTGTTAGCCAGTTAGTTGTAGAACGTCAGTACCGTCGGTCAGTGTCGTGCAATGTTATCGCAATTTTATTAAATTATATTGTTATGAATGCACCACATGCCTACAAATTGCAATTTCAAATTTGGTCTTAACGGAGAATTTCAAAGTGTTAGGAAATCAGAGGCCACATGCCACGTACTGCTCTTTTCTCTCCGAAACTCAACACTTGCAAGCCAGATATGAGAAGAAAGAAAAATCATCAGTTACACCACCGGGACTCGAACCAGGGACCTTGCTATTCGCGAGCAATGCGAGAGAGAGAGAGAGAGAGAGAGAGAGAGAGAGAGAGAGAGAGAGAGAGAGAGAGAGAGAGCGAGAGAGAGAGCGAGAGAGAGCGAGAGAGAGAGCGAGAGAGAGAGCGAGAGAGAGAGAGAGAGAGAGATAGAGAGAGAGAGATAGATAGATAGAGAGAGAGAGAGAGAGAGAGAGAGAGAGAGAGAGGAGAGAGAGAGAGAGAGAGAGAGAGAGAGAGAGAGAGAGAGAGAGAGAGAGGAAGATATGGGGGGGGGGGGGGGGTGAGTGAGGGAGGGTGAGTGAGTGAGTGCCAGATTAGTTCAGGAAACTATGGCAATGGACCAACAGCTGCATTGCTTTCAGTGCGGGGGCAATACGAAGACGTTAGATCGGAGCTGCTGCCAGGCAGAGTAATGTGCAGGCACTGGATCAGCGAGAAAGGGGCCACGAAAGCAGCAAAAAGGAAAGAAGAGAAGAAAGAAACATTAACGCAAAACATTCTGCACTGAGGTGATTCGAGAGCTCTAGGGAGCAAGGTACGGTTCAGTGGGGTGAAGACAAGGTGATCGTTGTGGGACTGGAGAATGGAACATAGTCAAATGTAGCCATGAAATGCTGTCGCCCACAACCAATCCTGGCGCATCAGGTGCTGACAAATGCGAGACTTGAAGGCCTGCATTCCTTTCGATGCAGGAGGTTCCGGGATGACTTGCTCAGGAATGTCGTTCCATGCCGCAATGAGGGTGTAGGGGGAATGACCTCAGTTGGTAGTTCGGTGCTGTCCGAGCAAGTGGCCATTGCAGCTGGAAAGGGTGGCGAGAAGCTAGTTGTCGGCGGGTTCTCGGAGTAGGTGCAGGCGCCGACGGTGGCGGGCTGTCAGCTGGGGTGGACCTTAATGTAGTGCAACTTGTACACATATGCAAGCCCTGAAACTGCCCTCCTGAGCTGCAGGCTCTGAAGGATCATACCAGGTCCGATGATTCGCATTGCCTTCTCCCTGCACCTTGTCATACCGTGCTAGGTGGCATTGGGCTGCACACATGGTGGCTAGGGGAGCGTACTCCAGGATGGGCCGAATGAACCCCTTATCGGCAAGGCGGCGGTCCTCATGACCCAGAAGCCAAGCAGCACGGCGCAAGAATCCCAGGCGCTGGCTGGCCTTGACAGCGACAGCATGGATATGGCGCTGGAACCCAAGCTTACAGTCGAATGTGACTCCAAGCAGCTTTAGGTGGTCCGAGTCCGGAATAATCTCGCCGGAAAAGGTGGTTGGTGGAAAGTCAGGGCGCTTTCGAGCATTGCATAAAATCAGGCGCTGGCTCTTGGTGGGCTCGAACTGGATCCGCGATTGCTGGCCCCATGCGGCAAGATTGCTGAGGGTTGTCTGTAAGGATGCTGCCTTCTCCTGGAGGTTGTCGTTTGGTCTGATCAGACTGTACACGGTAGTGTCATCGGCGAAAGAGCTGAGCTTTACTCCATGCGAGAGGAATTGGTCGATATCGGCAGCAAACAATATGAAGAGTGTGGGGCCCAGGACGCTGCCTTGGGGCACTCCGGCTGTGATGGGTACTTCTCGGAAGCGTGGCCTCCAGTTACCACCTTAATTTAAGGAGAGAGAGAGAGAGAGAGAGAGAGAGGTTGCGAAATTGTTAAAGTAAAATAAATGGAAATTTGAAAACATGAGATGATCGGTGAGGTGGCTGCAGCCTCAGCTATTCGGCCGGCAAAGTCATAATTGTTACAGTAGGCCAGCTATTACATGAACAAGGGAGCTACTGTGCCGCAACATAGAGCGAGGGAGAGTATTATAAGCTAGCGAAAAAAGACACGGTCTCAGACGCGGTGTGTGCACTACGGCTGAGGTGGGTATGAGAGATCTGCTAGAGGCTTTCAGTCGCCCAGCTTGCAGGCCCTCCAGCTGTGGGGTCTCAGCAGCATACTTTGGGGCAGAGCATTCCATGTCTGCACAGCGCTGGCAGGAAATGCGCGAAGACAGCTGTTTCGCGTGCGTGCTGGGAGGTTAATTATCGATAGCTGGTGTGGGTGCGTAGGCTGAGCAGACACGCGGTTGGGTGGTATGTCCTGGGCACCAGGGGGAGGATCTTCTTTAGCGGGCTGTCCGCATCCAGGCAGAATAGCTTGTACAAGTATGCGAGCGAAGCCACTGTCCGCCGCAGAGATAGACTAGGGAGCCAGGAGCCCGATCCGATGATGTGGATGTCTCGTCGCTGGATCTGGTCTAGCTTGGCCAAGTGTGAGGGTGGCGCACCAAGCCAGACCAGGGGACAGTACTCGAGCACAGGGCGGACAAACTCATTGTAGGCTCGTTGTCGGCCAGGGGACTCTAGGATAGCAGAGGCCTTCCGCAGGAAGCCTAGGCGTTGCTGTGCTGAGCGGATCGTGCGCATATGTCAGCTGGGAGTCAGGAGCTTCAGGTGGCCTGCTTCGCTGACTGGCGCGCCTGGCGTAGCGTCAAAAGTGGCTGATGCTGTTGAAGCGAGTGAGGTTGAACACTGTGCGCAAGGCACGTCTACTCAAGCGAACCAGGCGCTCATATTGACCCTCACTATAATTGTAAGGCAGTGAGCAAACGCATTCGACCCGTACTCGAGAACTGATTAGATGGACGATATGTAGAATGTGTTCTTGGCGTGCTCCGTGAGTTGGTGTCGTATCTTCTCGAACACAGTGATCTTGTTTCCAATCTTGCGCTCAAGGTGGGCGATATGGGCACCAAAAGTAAGGCGTTCATCCAAAACGATACCGCGTACCGAGGTACTTCAGACTGACTCACGACTGCCATCCGGAGCACACGAGGTTTGCAGAGTGGAAGGTGCGACGTGCTCCTCGTGTGCTCGGGATTGCAGTCGCGAGTCAGTCAAGTGTCAAGTTTGGCAGGAAACAAGGAACAAGCAAATAAACGTTACCGTAGTTCCGCGCATATAAGCCCATGAGTAATATACGAAATAATGCATTTTCCGGGAAAAAAATTAGTATATAATATAAATGGTTCGTTTTTTAGCCCTGGGCCTATACTGTAAATATACAAAATTTCGGCGCTGCAAAATTTCGGCACTTCACGATTTTTGACATTTCAGCGGCGATTTATTTTCGGCGTGGGGTAGAGTGCATGGTATAGTGCGACAGATGCTGTGAAAAATTTCATCGGCGTTTTAATTTAGGCGTTTTGGGTCGGTACCGAATATAGCCGAAATTAAATAGCTGCCGAAAATTTGTATATTTACAATATTCAAATTTTGAAGGCAGCTGGCAGCTGGCACGCGAAAAAGTACAAGTCCGTGCGCGGTTGTTCGCCTACCGTAGGTACCGGGACTTGTAATGTAGTCTGCACTGACATGCTGTACTATCGGTTCCGTCACGGTGTTTGGCTCCGTTTGGGCCTATAAACGGAGGTGGGCTTATATCCGGATATAGGCCCATGGGCTTATATGCGCGGAACTACGGGTTTGTTACTTCATGACTAAATACCGCCGAAGTCGCATCTTCAAAGTAACTTTTTGTTGTCCCTGCTGCGTTTTGGTGTGTTGCATGTATGCTATGCCTTCTCATCAGGGAGTCGTAAAGTACTGACTCTCTGGTTCTCATTCAAAGACAAAGGAGTCAAAAGGATTCTGAGGCCGAGGATGTCTGCATGGTGGGAAACAGACGCAGTCGAGTCGTGTGGCATGCAGCTGTTAGCGCTGTGCATGTGATCAGAGTCGTCAAAAAAAAAAAGAAGTAATTATTGTGACGACTCCCTTGTAATTGTGGCATAAAAAACCAACATTTTGATAGCCGACAGCTCGAGCAAGAGCAGGGTGGCTCTGTGGTGCCGATCATCACTCCGTCTCACCACTCCCTGCCCTGTTATTGTCACGGCAGTGTCCCAAGGTATGTCGCAGCGGCTTAGAATTCGTCGCAGGCAATTCATTCCATTCATTCTCCTGGTCTTGACAGCCGCTGTTCTTTGGGGATATATCAGCAAGGCGGGCACCAACTTGAGAGGGCTGTTGGTAGATTCACAGCAAAAACAAAGACCCAGTGTTACTGTAGCTGTAAGAACCACGCAGCTACGATCAGCCGAGTCTGGCTTCATACGCGTAGATGACGTGCGGAACATTCTCTCACATTCAAATTCCGATGGTGTTGGAAAGGTGAGCGCAACGTTAACACCAGATCAGGTCCCCGCACTCCAGACCAGGGGTGCTACGTGGTATCGAGTGGGAAAGCCATTCCACAAAGTGGTTCTGAAGGGATTTGCCTTGACGTTCAAGACTCTCAGTGTGTCGCCATCAACATCATCAGTGTCAGCGCTGCCAAGGTCCCTCGTGTTCTATGCTCAGGTTTTGTCAGGCTTGTTTCACCCCAAGCAGCGGCAGTATGTCGCTGTTACCATCGGCGAAGAGGACATTTGCGTGCATGTCAAAGTATCGCAAGCGGCAAGACCGACCGTTGTTTGTGAGGATTCCCTCGGACCCAGTCCTCCTGGCTCCTGGTTTTCACTGTACGTTACCATGACGCCACAAAGAGTGGTGTCCATGGTGACCAATAACACCGTGTCCGACAATCCGGTACCAGTAGACGGGCTTTAAGTCTACGTTGAAGCTGCTCTGCTCGAGTATTGGAACTGGAGCGGCAACCACCTTAGCTGGGTTAGAGGTTGACTCGGGTATGTACATTGGTGGTGTTGTGGACCATACAAACATTGCTTTGCGTCGTGACTTCCATGACGCAATACAGCCCTTCAGTGGGTTTATCTCGTCTCAGATCGTCGTCAACGACAACGTATTCGACTTGACAAGTGACTCAACGGACCACGGGTTCACTGATGAAAAGATGAAGGACTATTTGCAGAACATGCTATATTACGACATGTCACGGCCACTTCCCCGTGTTCTTAGCAAGAGAAAGCATGATATGTCGGATCCGACCATGTTCCGTTTCCCTGTTGCCACGGCGATAAGCAGCAATCATGCCAATGAAGCCAGTGACATGATTTTCTCCGTTGTTGACGTGATGAGCGATCGTGGGATTCTTGTGTACGATCTGGGACTCACGCCATCCCATGTGAAGCGTTTGATGTCGTTTTGCAACGTCAGTGTCCGGCAAATGCCGTGGGATGTGTACGGAGCAGCGCGTCGCGATGTCTACGACATGCGGTGGAAGCCAATCATTCTTAACAGCGTCATGCAGGAGTTTGGTGGTGTGCTCTACGCTGACGCGTCCATACGCTTCAAGAAAAGCATCAACAGTATCGGTTTACTCCGGGACGGGCCAGGTTTTGTCGGTTTTGGACCGCAGAGCACCTCACCAACTGGTGCCTTCACGCATGACGGCACCTTGCAGTCGTTTGGTGTCAACAGATCCGAGGTGGCGCAGACAGCAATTACAATTGGCGGTGTCCAGATATGGATTGACCACAAGGAAACGGTGCGCGATCTGCTGATGAGACAGTGGCTGTCGTGCGCTATCTCAGAACAGTGTATGGCACCGCGGGGCTCCAGTAGATTCAACTGTCAGTTCAGCCTTCGATATACGGGTAAGTTTATGGGATGCCATCGCTACGATCAGAGTGCGATAAGTGTGATTCTGTGGAAGGCGTTTGCAGATGCCACGGCCAATTCCTATCAGTTGAATCACCCTCACGACCTTGAATATCTTGAAATTGAACGATTCCCAACGCATCACCATCGCCAGTGTTTTGCTCAAAGACCTTAACCACCATTTGTTTGTAGCGGTCTAGGGCTGCGCCTGTGGCTGAGCCCTCTCAAACTCACCAAGATTTTTCTGCGGTCTGTCTGCCTATCTCTCTAGTAGGTTTCACTGGTACGCAGGAAATTCGTCCAGTCCCTACAGGAACTGGGCCGTTTCGCGTTTCGCATGCTGCTGCTGAAAAATATGGTGCTCAAAACGTCCGACATCATTAGCTCCTGCTTGAGCAACGATGCAATGAATTTGGGTCTTCTGCAAACAATGCCAGGGCACAATGTCTACGGACGCCCGGCAGAACCGCTTCTGTCGTCTGTCACTGCAGGAGTTCCTGTCGGCATGGCTCATGGCAGAGTGCGTGGTGCAAAACGACTTCGCACCACTGCACTGATAACGTTATGGGGACTGGGCAAGCACGATGGCCATATGGCAATGTTCTGGAAGTTTCTCATTGCTCTATACCTTGAAGGCGAAGGCGTGTCGCTGACCATCATGGAGGGGATACTACATGTAGTATGGCATGTGCAGTGTGCAGATCCCATACCACTGGATCCTAGCAGTACCCCACACGTTTCCAACTGATTGCTGCAAGCGAGGAAGAATAATCTGCCTTGTAGGCTTCAGTGGCCAACAAAGGCACTGCTATTGCCACTAGGCGCGCTGCTACCGTCTCTAAGCTAGCTGAAGAGATGCGCGACAACTCAAGCGTCCTGACGGATGAGATGTAGATGGCAGGTGGTCCATGATAGGTTATGCCAGGTACTGAAGATTGAGCACATGAAAGTCCTCGCCGAATTTCTCGGCTTGGCCTAACATGGGATTCGAACCCGCAGTATCTCCCTGCATCCCCCCCCCCCATACACTTCGCATACATTCACAATCATAATGTGACCATCTTCAAAGTTGCTTCACGTTATGATCTTGCACTTGAAACCCCTATCTGAATGAGGAGGCAAGCTGTCTTTGATGGTATAGTACAGGACATGTACGGGATAGCGTGTGGACCCTGGCTAGCGCCTGAAGTTACTGAAGTAACGTCTTTTGCATAGATAATAATAATCTTTATTTCAGGATTACCCAAAGGCTAACGCCTATCTGGGGGATCTCCTATTTGTGTATGTACTAGCAACATAGTTAAGGATGCGAGAGAAAGTGCGCAAAGTGAGTGTGAAATGTTGGTTTGAAAAAGGAATAATAAGAAACACAAGGAAAGAAAGTAAAACAGAAAAGAAAAGAACAAGCATGTAAATCAATGATTGCACATCAAAGGTGTACCAGTGCAGTCCAACTGATACTTAGCAATGTGAATACGTAAATGACGCTTGAATTCAGATAGGGAATCTAAAGTTGTCAATCGGGGTGGAAGACAATTCCAAAGAGAACCAGTTTTCTGTAGGAAAAGGGATGAAAAAATACGACCATGTGAGTTAAAAACGAGCTTTTTGGGCCTACGGGCACTACGTGATATGGTTATCGCAAAGCGAGAGAGATATTCTGGGTGGAAATTGATGTACTTAAATAAAACAACAAGAGAAATAAAGATACGGCGAAATTGCAGAGATTCTAAGTGACACAATCTATTCAAATTGGATTTTGATTCATAGATATCAAAGGTTATTTTTGCAGACTTCAGGAGTCGCCGGCAAACCTTAGCCTGGAGTACATCAAGGGACTCTTACTGAGCGGATGTGATCCTAAATGACCAGACAGGAATGGCATATTCAATTGCCGGACGCACATAAGACTTATACAAGAGGAGAATATGGGACGACGGTAAATGTCTGCCCATGAAACACAACAGGTTGACTCGTTGCTGAAACTTCCTGAAGATGGTGTGGAAGTGGTCATGGAACTTCAAACCATCACTGAGCTGTACGCCGAGATGCTTAGCAGAACGTCCAAAGGCAATAGCAACGCCGTCCATTAAAACAGAGGAGGATAGCTACGGGAACAAGTTTAGTTCACGGTGCAGATTGTTGCTTCCAAAAATCCACACCGTCTGATATACCACCTGCACCACCGTATTCCATAGTTCTACAGTTCCGCTCTGTCGTGAAGCTGGTGTGAAGCGTCCAGCACCGAAACTGTTAGTTACTACTTGTCCTGGAGCTGAGGGCAGACTCTCACGCCATAGGCATAGGCATGGCGCAGAACGGTAGCGGATAGATCACACCTTCGGGGTTCACATAGCCTCACTGGAATCATGACAACGGTCCCGCTCCACCAGTACAGTCCTTTCCGCGTGTGCGTGCGAATATGCCACAACCACCTACAACACTTCGTACACGCAGCAAGTCTTCTATAATCGTACATCCGCGTTACGAACGGCAACAAAATTGTGTTGAGAAACACCAACACCTTGAGATGTTTCACTTGGATCTGGCGACCACCATGTCTGATTGCACCAAGGTTAGGCGGCAGATGTAGCGCCTGAGAGTAGTGGACACCTTTAAATATTGTGTCGGTCGACGCCTCGACGTGACATGCGACTACTTTGGGTTTGAAAAGCTAGAGATCTTAGCCCAAGGTCCTCTTGACCTTAGCGTACTACTACTACTAGTTGGAGCTGTTCATTTTCTTCCTCTATTCTGACGGGAAGTTGGACACCGTAGCGTTGTAACACCACCAGTATAGAGCTAGCTGTGTATTCTGGGAGATTGGCAAAAGGTGAGTTTTTCTTTTCTTCTTTTTTAACTTAATAAGTCGGCATGGAGACAATCAAGACAGGGCTCAATTTTTTCACTGGCTCTCAGAGACTGGGGCACAATTCTAGATAGGGCACTATTCAAAAGAGGGCTCTAATCCGTAATCGCGCGAGTACGGTACATGTCTGTATCGTCTCGTGCAGCAAATGTGCAGGACTCTAGAAATATGTCGGCTGGTGGGGTCTAGCTTGACAGCTAGCTATGATACAACACCCTACACGATGCATGTATCAGTGGAGTAGTGCAAACATAAAATTGTTATGTTCCCCAACAATCGAGCGAATTCAAAGCTGGGTTTTGACCTGTCCTAGTAGCACCCGTATGTCATGCAAACTTCCAAGTATAAATAATTATTTTTGCAACATGGGAAATTATGGGTTAACTATCACTTTTGCAAATAGTGTGTCCACCGAAGCTTTGTCACATAAAAATATTCACGGTTCGTGTGAGACTCGGTTTATCTATAATAAAATAATGTAGAGGACGAGTTTTACGCATCCGTAGAAACGCCACCCCCTCCCCCCCCCCTCAAGGATCAAGCGCAGGTGCAGCTCCTAAAGCGGTGGGAGGTGAGTAGATCAGCTCCCAGCATGTGGTCAAAAACCGAAAATCCCATTCACTACATCCATGTTTCCTCGTACCAGGCCACGAGTTCCCAATTAACTGTGGGTCGCAGCACGGCTCGAAAAATCCTTCCGCTTCCAAGCAAGGACTTGAACCTGGTAACCTCTGTTTCTCAATCATGCTCTTAGTCACATAGTATGCATAGCAATGAATAGTAATGAATAGTAATGAACGAGAATGTTCTTGTGTGCTTTGCCAATGTCCTCTTGCAAGCATATTGTAAAAGCTCGCGAAGAACGACCACTCGCGAATATCAACATTGGTTCTCATGGTTGATCGAGGGTTCTTATTCGCAGGATTGATTGTTCTACCGTAGTATGAACAAAATTTAATATTATTTAACAGAAACTTTAAAAAGAACTGTAATCTCGATACTGAATCCACCAGTGCGATTGTATGGACAAGAACATTAGAAAACAACACCTAATTTCTCATGCCCTTGATTACAAGCTCGGAGAGGAAACACTATTGAAAATAGGGTTTTATAACTTTCATTTTTTCATTGGCTAAGAGACAGGGGCAACATTCTTGGCTGGTCGCCAGAAAGAGAGAGAGAGAGAGAGAGAGAGAGAAAGAAACAGAGAGAGAAAGAGAGAGATAGATAGATAGAGAGAGAGAGATAGAGAGAGAGAGAGAGAGATAGAGAGAGAAAGAAAGATAGAGAGAGAAAGAGAGAGAGAGAGAGAGAGAGAGAGAGAGAGAGAGAGAGATGGAGAAAGAGCTCTAATCACGCAAATATTGCATTCTCTAATGCTGCGTATAATATAGGCATGACTTATATAGAAGCATGACCAGTATAGAAGCATGATCTGTATAAAAGCATGACCTGTATAGAAGCATGATTCGAATAGAAGCTGATTTTTCGAAGCGTGCCATGACACAGAAGCAAGATTCGAATAGAAGCCGCTTTCCGCAAAATACATGTGCAAGTACAGTGCGTATCGGTTATAGTGTGGTCGTATACAAGAATATACTGCTTACAAGAATGAACACTCATTTTTTCATAATCATAACACATATTTTATGTGTATGTTTATTCTTACAAGCAGTATTATCGCATAGTAGAATATATCGGCCCTAAGAATGGATTTTGTGTAGCAAAATATGCCAGATTAGCGCAAAGGGTATCGCCTGTAGCAATAACATCTGTGCTCTGTGCATACTCAATACTAATATTCAACACAAAAGAGAGTTATGTCCAAGGCCGCATTGGAGAATCACTTTTTCTGTCCAGTCGGACTCTTTCCTCCGACTTCTCTCGCATCCGCTGCTCCGCAGTCGCCTAGCACGACCGCGACTCCGCGACTCTGAGCCGTGTGTATCATGTGTACGTGTCCGCATGCCAAACGTGCGCGCATATGATGTCACACGTGATTTATCGCGTGTAAGAAATATCGGCAATAAGAATCAAATGTCGTTTTTCAAACACCCACGCTATAACCGATACCTACTGTACATGCATTGCAGTATGCACTGTACAGGGTAGACTGATGATGTTTTACTAGAAGCAGGTTTTGAATAGAAGCATGGTTTGAACCTCGGCTGATATACGGCCGTAATCACCTGCCTCGTGCCATTATGTCATTCTCCGTCATCTCACCATAACCACCTCACCTCCGTAATATTCTGTACACAGGAAAAGACAAAACCGGTACAGTGCCCATCAAGCAAGATGTCACGGCAAGGTAAGAGCTCACTTTTTCAAAAAAAGGTTTTTGGCCAGACTGACTGCGCTCTCTTGTCAAATTTGCAAAGTGAAATCATGCAAAAGTATGCACAGTTCACAACTACTTAATAAGTAGTGCTGCCAATCCCAGTGATTGATATGTGAGCCGAGGCAAGCAAAATGGTGGCCTTTCAATAGGCATAATTTGTTGAAAGGAAAAGGACATAAGGATACGAGTTAAGAGTAACTCTCCATCACTGTAACTGGATACTATATAAAGTCAGAAAGTGCAATAACTAGGCACAAAACTGACAAGATAGTCCATCAGCCAGTGGTGCCAAAGTGAGTCCCCTGTTGCACTTACAAATCGAACACCTGGAACTGACATCAATCGACAGCAAAAGCATCACTGAATCCGACCTGCCTACTTTCCCTGGCGAAACTCTTGCACTCCTTTTGCAGTGCGCCTTGAAAGTTCGACAAATTTCTTCTTCTTCATCAGCCATTACGAGGTTTTCCATCCGTTTTATCATGACATCCAATGCGTCTTCAGTGAAAGCGTGGAGTTTTGTCAACATTTGGTGTGGTTTTCCGTGGCGATCGACCTAAATTCGCGAAATAAATCGCCGTCGATTTGAGCAGAGGTGAGTTGGCTTGGAGCACGTACAGATTCAAAAAATATGTGTACATGCGCACCGGGAAGAAGATGAAGATGCTCACCATTTTCAAATAACTAATTCAAAAAACTACATGACTATTGTACTGCAATTGTTGTAGTTACTTGTTTGCAACTACAATGGTATCAAGTAGATAATCAAGCGAGGTACAGAGGGATTGATGGCTGATCAAAGCCCAAGGGACCAGCTCGAGGGCTTTGATCAGTCATCAAGCCCGACTGTACCTCGCTTGAATATGCTTCAGACGATCCCCAACAATTTTTTGGATTTTGAATTCAATCGCTTTATTCTTTGGGTGATCTCGAGTGTGGTAGATAGTACTTCGAAGTAGTACAACTGTAACTGTACTACTACCTGGTTGCAACATGTTCAAAGCAGCCTTGCCTTTATTTCAACTGTTTGCTGTCAGCATCCAGAGCCATGGCGTTTGCTAGTTGGTCGTAATGGAGAAGAGAACTGCAGGGCATTCACTCGACGTACATGTACAACATCCATCGCCGCAGATTCCTCACTTTTAGCTCTCCACGTTCCTTATTTTTCCAGGGATCAGGACCTTCCCGGGGTGATTCCATTCAGGGTGGAAGCGTAGATCACTTTTGCCAAACAGTAAAAACTACGCTTCAAACCTGCTTGACATGACTCGGGGAGCATACTTCGGAAACCCGAAGGTGGATGCTGTTCAATACTAGCTCATTGTAATCTTCCTGAAGGTATGTATTCGGATGCTCGATTAAATAGAACAGTGAAAGAGATGTGTAATGGAACAACACTCTACAAGTAGGCGAACAACAATTTTATTGTAATTTGAATCCAGGCACACGTGTAATACGGAAACTGCACTGGTTTACACTGCAAATCTTCTCGATTTGCAAGATTTTTCCCGTAATTCACAAAAATCTGAAAGTTCATTCCTGAAACGCGCATGGCACTGATTGGAGATTGGGTTTAGGTCACAACAATGGCTGTCGATGAAATGCCAAAAATGGTCACTTTGTCGGCCTCCCCCTGCAGAGCGTGCAAGTCGTTTACTCTTTTTATTTGCGGATTCGGTGTACAGGGCACCTAAACTCCCCATTGAGGCCAAAATCAAGTATTCGATTTCTAAGCGCAACAGGGTGCTTGAATTTGACGACTTCTGAGTTCTTGGCTGATGGACTAAGAGTACTGAGACATTCGACGTCCTGACACTCGTCCTGACACAAGTTGGAAGGCTGTCGGTTAGCGCTACGGAGATGTGTTGAAGCTAGATGTCAGGACGTCGAATGTCTCAGTACTCTTGCCAGTTTTGTGCCTAGTTATTGCACTTTCTGACTGTATAATTTATATTATCCAGTTACAGTGATGGAGAGTTACTTTAACTCGTATCCTTATGTCCTTTTCCTTTCTACATTTATTTATGTCTCAACATCCGAGTTTCAAATATTTTGAATTTTTTGAATTTTTCATGCCAAAGTGATGTGTACGTATCCAACTTCCATCATGGAAATTTTGGTGCTCATCTGAAAGTATATTATGTGCAGTGTCAGCTCCAGAGCCGGTTCAGCCACTTGAAATTGGAATATATTTTCGTGACCGCCCTGGAGTAGAATTTTGCCAACTGTGACGTTTTGTTGATTTTCTAGATTTGTTGGCAAAACTCTATGCCCCTTTTTAGCGTGGCCCGGCTCATGTGTTAGGGCACATATGTACATTCTGCACTGTATGCATCCCAGGAATTTCTATTTTTTCTTCACAAGTATTTGCAGTGGTTGGTGCTGAAACAGTTGCAAGCTCCTGAAATCGAACCCGTATCAAAAAAGCGCAAAAGTTGCTAACATCGCAATTGCCGAAAACCACCAAAAAGGAGCAGGTACTGATACTTTGCATGTGCTCGATATTAGAAGAAAAGATACATTGTCATTGTGTGCAAGCTCGTACGGATACACGACTGTGTGTGTGTGTGTGTGTTTGTGTGTTTGTGTGTGTTTGTGTGTGCGTGTGTGTGCCTGTTTGTGTGGGGGAGGGGTCGGGAGTACGTGTGGATGTAAGTGTGTGTATGTGTGTAGGTGTGCGTGTATGTATAATTATTATGTGTGTAGGTGTGTGCGTGTGTGCGTGTCTCTGTGTGTGTGTGTGTCCCATATGGTGCAGTGGTATGTGCAGCGATTTCCAATCGAGAGGTTGCGGGGTAGATTCCCGATGATTATGGTCACACACGTCTTTCTTCTCTTTCTCAGACTCCTCCTGACTTTTCTTTCATTCTCCTGGGTGGTTACCAACAGCCAGTGCATGCCGGAGTATGTGGTGTGATGTGTGTGCGGAAAAATGAAACGAGACCAAAAATTAGGGATTCACTGACCAGAAAAAGCCACTTCATAGCTGTGTGGTGTAGACCAGGCTGAATAGTAGCGGTCAATTCTTCAGCCTTGCAAGCTGTTGAATGGTGCAATCCCAGCACAAGCTGCTATGGCTTCGCTATCATCGCCTCCGGCGATGGGCGTCAAATGGTCAAATGGTGTGTGTGTGTGCGTGTGTGTGTGTGGGCATGTGGGAGTGTGGGTAGTTGGGCGTGGGTGTGCGCATGTATGTGTGCGCATGTACATGTATGTGTGCTTGTGTGTGTGCTGGGCCCGGGGCAAGGGGCGTGTGTGTGTGTGTGTGTGTGTGTGTGTGTGTGTGTGTGTGTGTGTGTGTGTGTGTGTGTGTGTGTGTGTGTGTGTGTGTGTGTGTGTGTGTGTGTGTGTGTGTGTGTGTGTGTGATCCACTCTGATTTAGCCACCCACACTAGTAGCAGGTATTACCTTCACTGGTTGCAGGGGTAACTGAAGTTGGATCCCAGGACGGATACCCTGATTCCGTCAATCCTTTTTCTGCACCTTGTCCTCACCCACTTACTGAGGTGTGGTGAGCCCGTAAGTGGGATCATTTTCAAGTCCACCCATAGTTTGGGGATTTTAGGGGGTGTCGGCCGTTGGGCGGTTCAGTAGCCAGTTGAGTCCTCTTTCCAAGATTCCTTTTAAGTTCCTCTCTCCCCTCTCCCGGTGAGACTCACGTGAACAGTTTTGCCAGCGAGCAAGTACAAGTACAGTGTTTGTGTGTATGTATTCATATGTGTGTGTGTGCGTGTGTGTGTGTATTCATATGTGTGTGTGTGTGTGTGTCTGTGTATTCATATGTGTGTGTGTGTGTGTGTGCGTGTGTGTTTTGCGTCTGTATTTCCGTGTGTCCTTGTCTGTGATCGTGTATCTCCTGGTCTCTTCTATCAGTGTGCTTACTCGCGCTTACTACTTTCTGTTTCTTTTAAATGTTTCTCCTACACACGCCACTATTAGTCTACGACATCTCCTAACGGCCTTTCTCTGCTGTTCTTTCTTTCTTTTGCTATAGATGGTCTATCAAGCCGAGAAAAAGCGCTTATCGGATTTATATGTGGCGTGTTTCTTATCGGTTTCATATTCATCTTCCTTCTTTGTTACTGTTGTATAAAGTATCGATGCGTGCCTCCTGGTATTGATGTAGACCCAGGAGGAGTTGATCTTGGCGTAGATATTGGCGGAGTTCATCTCGAAGCAGAGATTCAGGCAGATGCTGGCGATGTGAATTTCCAGGCAGACGCTGGCAGTGCTGAGCTGGACTCAGATGATAGTGTTAATCTCGCGGCAGATGCTGGAAATGTTGATCATGGTGCAGATGCTGGCAATGTTGATCTAGAGGCAGAGGTCCAGGCAGATGCTGGCGATGCGGATTTCCAGGCAGACGCTGGCAGTGCTGAGCTGGACTCAGTTGATAGTGTTAATCTCGCGGCAGATGCTGGCAATGTTGATCATGGCCCAGATGCTGCCAATGTTGATCTAGAGGCAGAGATCCAGGCAGATGATGGCGATGTGGATTTAGTGGAAGCCGCTGGCAGCTCTGAGCTAGACTCAGATGATAGCGTTGATCATGGAGCAGATGCAATGCATAGGCTGGAAATGTTGCTTGATCTCTTTGCAAACGCTGTCAATGATTCTGTTGATCTCTAGGCAGGTGCTGGAAATGTTAGTCTCGAGGCAGATGGTGCACGGCAATATTGATCCCCAGGAAGACGCTGGCAATGTTGATTTGAAGGCAGGCCATGGATCTATCGTGCAAGCAGTCCCAATAATCGTCCTGCAGATTTTGAATGTGCTTTTTTATACGTCTTGGTTCATTCCATTTACTAGTACTTTTCAAATGACAATGAAAGTGCCAGTATGTCCAGGAACCACTGGTGGTGTGCCAATGGCGGATCACAGTTTCGAATCTTATCCTGTATGTTGTGCCCGTTTTTGATCATTTCCCAGTGCCTTGTTTTAGGTTTAGAGGTGAATTAATGTACCCATTGTAATAGTCATCTAGAAATAATAGTGTTTCACTCGACATTAACACATGGTATGGATAATGTGTGAATTGTCGTTGTACATTTAACGATCATTGAAGAGTTTTGCTATGGAGGGAATCATAAATGTGTCTATTCAATTGTATCCTTTCTAGTATACGGTACACATTCATCTACATACATACAATACCTTCAACCTCTTCATTCAACTCGGATGGAGAGCCGAGGATTAAAATTAAAAAAGAGAGGACCATAAATTTACAAGTTATCCGTTTTGTCCAGCACTAACTAGTATATGCATGCTATTGAGTCAAATTTTGCCATTAATAACAATATTATTATCATTATCACGCGATAAGGAGGACGAGCTGAAGTGACACTGGATCACTTTATTTAAACAATGTTAGGCAATGGAGACGATGCGAAAACAATCTAAAAGGTAAGGAGAAATACATGTAAGAAGAAAAGGCGATGGAAATAAAGGATGATTCGAACAAGTTTTCGTACAACACTCTCCAGGAATCACCATTTTCATTGCAGTATGAAACATTAAAAATAGGGATTCACTGGTCAGAAAACGCCACTTCAACCAGCCGTGTGGAGTAGACCAGGCTAAAATTAGTGGCGGTTAATTCATCAGCCTTGCAAGCTGTTGAATGGTGTTTCCCTAGCAAAAGTTGCTATGTCTAACATAGTTTGTTCGCTATCATCGCTTCAGCGATGCGCAGGAGAATGAGTACCAATATGAGTATGTGTGTGTGTGTGTGTATGTGTGTGTGTGTGTGCGTGTTTGTGTGTGTGTTTACATGTGTGAGTGTGGGTGGTTGTGTGTGTGTGTGTATGTGTGCGCATGTATATGTGTGTGTATGCGTGTGCGTGTTTGTGTGTGTGTGTGTTTTTGCATGTGTGAGTGTGGGTGTGTGTATATATATGTGGGGGGGGGGTGCGTGTGTATGTGTGCACATGCATTGTAACAGATTCACTGTTACTACTAACACTAGGAATAGGATACACTTATCACCTGCTATTATCACGCTGCTGCTGTTAGGTGTTATGTCCATCATTGCTTGTTCATGTATATAAGAATGCATTATGGCAAGGATCATTGCTTATTCCAAGAATGACTACTGAAGTTAGTTGGACTGTTACACTGGTAGCAAGAGGATGGTTTTTCTTTTCGTCATGTTCGGGCTATGCGCAGTGGCCGCATTAGTCGCCTACGGTATATTCGAGATTCAGAAGCGTCTGAATCACCTTATCGCACTCGGTCAGTGCGATGGATCAGATCAAACGCCAAGACGTGCTCAAGCTCCCAGCGGAGAGAGGCCACGCATGCGCCATGTTAAGTCTCCGCCTGTGTTTCGTGGAGATACAAGAGAGTTCAAGGAGTGGGCCTTCGCCATCGAACTCGCCATGAAGTCCCTGCAGCTGGACAACGCGGAGGAGCGCTTGAGCTACGCGGCGAGTTTTCTGGAGGGCAACGCTCGTCTTTGGTTTATCGCCTCTCAGGAGGCAAACACGCTGTTTTCCGACTGGCCAGACCTGAAGAGCAAGCTGGGAGAAGTGTACGGCCCGGTTTACGACAGGGAACAGGCGCGCATCGACTTATTCGCTCTTCACCAAGATGAGACTCTTGACGAATACATCAACAAATTTTCGCGGCTTAGCTTACAAGTTCCCGAGCTTGATGACCACTCCAGAGCTATCTTGTTCACGCGTGGGCTGGCTCAGGGCCTAAGCGGTGAGGTACTTAGGGAGCATCCGCAACATTTGGCCCAAGCCATACGAGCTGCGGTCTCAGCAGACCAGTCGATGCGGCTAGCCCAAGCAAGCTACGCCAAGGCAGTGCGCACACCAGGGCATCAGAGGCGCCAGCCTGGACCCTGGTCAAGCCAACCAACACCATCCGGTGGGAGAGAAACCAGGGAGCCAGAGGGTCGTTCAAGGCTGTGTTTCACCTGCAGGAAACCGGCCATATTGCCAGATTCTGTCCAGAAGGAGGGAGGAACGCCACAAGCAAGCCTTCTTTAAACGATGGACGCCAGTAAGGAAGGGAGTGCGACTACTGGCGATCACGAGAGCACCCAGGAATAGGCCACGAATCAAAGTTCAGAACAAATTCAGCCCCTTAGCAAATGAGGAACCACGCCTCGAGGAGACCGAAATTCAAGCCTCGCCTGTCAAGCATTCGTCACCTGATACTGTTGGCCGGCCTAATGAAGTAACCGCCAGCACAGGGAGCATTTCCGCCGACAACGAACACGACCTAATGCGCGTACAGGGCAAGATATATGGACGTCGCGTTACCATGCTACTGGATTCTGGGTCAACCCACGACTTCATTTCAACTGACCTTGTCAAGAAGCACAACATCTCCACAACAACCGGTAGCGACGTCCTGAACGTCACACTTGCTGATGGATCGGTCCGCTCACAGCCTATTACGAAAACGGACAGCTTGAAGACCGTAGTCGGCGACTTTAGCGAGCACCAACAGTTCCTAGTATTCCCTATGACGCGGTATGACGTGATCCTCGGCAAACCATGGCTGACCCGGACGAACCCACAGATCAATTTTCGTACCAATGAAATCAAGCTGGAGGGTGGATCCATCATCTGTCAACCGAGTGAAAGTGATGGCACGGACAAATCCAACCCACCGATCGAGACGTTCCTCATCTCAGGGAAGCAGGCTAGGCATGCAATGAGAGGTGGCGCAGAAGGAATCCTAGCGTATGTGACAGCAGATCCGGACGAGCCACAGACGGTGGATAGTCCGGGTAGGGAGGATCAGAAGGATTTCAAGGACCTGCTGAAGGAGTTCGGGGACGTCTTTCCCGATGAGCTTCCAAACAAGCTGCCACCCAGAAGAGGCGCAGATCACGAGATAAAAACGGAAGAAGGAGCTAAACCGCCATCTCGTGCAGCATATCGTTTACCAAAACCAGAGATGGATGAGCTTCAAGCTCAGCTCACCGAGCTGCTCCGTAGAGGATTCATCCAGCCCAGCAAATCCCCATACGGAGCCCCTGTGTTCTTCGTAAAGAAGGCGGATGGAACACTTCGAATGGTATGCGACTGGCGTGAGCTAAACCGCATAACCATTAAGAACAAGGCATGCCTACCGAATATTGACGACCTCTTTGATACCGTCCAAGGCAGTGCGTATTTCACCAAGCTAGATCTGAGGTCCGGTTACAATCAGATTCGAATAGAAGAAAAAGATATTCCGAAGACAGCAATAAATACCCCATTCGGTCACTTTCAGTTCACAGTGATGGGTTTCGGCCTAACAAATGCCCCGGCAACATTCCAAACCTTGATGAACAGTGTCCTCCAGCCATACCTGCGTAAATTCGTTGTGGTGTTTCTAGACGATATCCTCATATTCAGCAAATCATGGGAGGAGCACCTCGATCATGTCAGAACCATCTTAAACGCCCTCAGGAGGAATGAGCTATATTGCAAACCGTCTAAATGTGAATTCGGCCGGACAGACGGTCTGTTTCTTGGGCACCGGATAGACGGCCAATGCATTTCCCCAGATCCAGAGAAGATCAAGGCCGTGCATAACTGGCCTGTCCCGACGACGGTCACGCACGTAAGACAGTTTCTGGGATTCGCTAATTACTTTCGAAGGTTCATTAACCATTTCTCGGCCATCTCCAAACCCCTGGAGGAACTGACAGGGAAACATGTGCGCTTCGAGTGGAATCAGACTCGACAGGAGGCATTTGAGCGGTTGAAGTCTGCTCTGCTGGATGCACCATTGTTGCGACTAGCAAACGTCAGTCAGGATTTCCGCGTTGAGACTGACGCAAGTGACTTTGCTGTGGCAGGAGTCTTAACGCAGCAAGCAGAGGACCAGTCCTGGCATCCTGTGGCTTACGTGAGCCGAAAGCTGTCTTCTGCCGAACGGAATTACACGGCCGCCGAGCGAGAAACTTTGGCTTTAGTGTACGCCCTGCAGTGCTGGCGAGTCTACCTATTTCGCCACTTTCAACTCTACACCGACAACATGGGAGTTGTCTACCTCAGGACCAAACCAAACTTAACCAAGAGAGAGGCTCGATGGATTGAATTCCTGGCCGACTATGACTACACGGCACATCACAAGCCAGGGAAGTGTAACATAGCAGACCCGTTGTCACGTCGACCAGACTTGGAACTGAATGGAATCGAGTTCTCTCTGGATGTGAATCAAGGGATTGCGAATCAGATCTCAGCAGGGTATGATAGTGACCCAGAGCTTTCGCCAGTAATCAAGCGCTTGATGGCTTGCAGCGAAGACGCCATGCATGAGCGATACGTCTGGAACAGTGTGGACCGGCGGCTGTACCTAGTAACATCGGGCGATGCTCGCCTCTGCATTCCTCGCGGTCCGGTACGGCTGCAATTGCTCAAACAGAATCATGATTGCCTGACGGCCGGCCATCCGGGGAGAGACAGGACCTACCTGAAGCTGAGCAGATACTTCTATTGGCCAGGCATGAGAAGTACTGTGAAGGACTTCGTTAAATCTTGCGACCGGTGCCAACGCGTAAAGTGTAGCCAGACCAAGGCAGGACTGTTGCAGTCCCTTCCAGTCCCCGAACAGCCCTGGACAGACATCAGCATGGATTTCATCATGGCACTGCCGCTGACCTGCCGAGGACATAGCGCCATTCTAACCTTTGTGGACCGTCTGACGAAGTATGTGCACCTGATCCCGACGACTGTTCATGGTGACTCTAAGGAGGCAGCCCGATTGTACGTGGATCATGTGTTTGCTGCCCATGGCTTGAGCAAAACGATAGTTTGTGATCGAGATCCGCGATTCACGTCGGCGTTCTTCAAGGAGGTTTTCAGTATTCTTGGCGTGGAGCTAAAAATGAGCACGGCCAACCACCCGCAGACCAATGGCATGACTGAGCGTGTGAACCGTGTCATTGAGGATACGCTAAGAGCTGTCGTCAACCATAGGCAAAACAATTGGGATGAACTCCTATCGCTATGTGAGTTTGCGATCAACAATGCCGATCAAGCGTCAACAGGTAACACGCCATTTTTCCTCAACCATGGATGCCATCCAGTTACTCCCTCGAGCTTATTGACGAAGCAGAAAGCTGGAGCTGGCATGGACACGAATGGTCCGCTGTCATGGCTGGATGGCCGCGTAGAGGCACTACGTGAGGCACAGGATGCCATCGTGGCGGCGCAGGCCCGGCAATCATTGTATGCAGATCGAGGACGGGTGGAGGACGCCCTGAAGGAGGGGGATGAGGTGTTGGTCTTCAGGGACTTCCTGCTGACGCCCGAGGAACGAGACAGGCCTTCACACAAATTAAGGCTCAAGTGGTATGGGCCGTTCAAGGTGCAGAAGAAAGTGGCCCCGAATGCGTACAGATTAGCTCTTCCAAGAATCATTCGGGCCCATCCAGTGTTCAATATTGCTGCCCTCAAGCTGTACCATGGCAATGAGATACCGGGCCGTACTCAGCCGGCACCTCCACCCCTAACCGATGCGGATGGCCATACGCGGTACATTGTCGAAAAGGTGTTGTCGCACAAGAAGAGAGGACGGTGCACGCAGTACCTAGTGAAATGGAAGGGCTACCGAGATGCCACCTGGGAGCCGGAGGAATAGTTGATGGATGAAGCAGGAAACGCTATTATTCCGCTGAAAACCTACCTGGACCGTTTTTCATAAAATTGCTATTTAATTGGCAGCCACAGTTGTATTGCTAGTTTCTACGTGTTGCAATAGAAATGTAGCATTCTGCATGATTAGGATAGTGCTTCCCTGCCAGCCAGGCGTTATTTGCAGAGGACATGCACTGGATCTTGAGTTCATCAGTGTTGTTTTCGGCTACCATGCATTCCACATATCCATGCATGATCATTAGTTACCATAACTGTTCCTTCGAATTGGTACTGTTCTGACAGTTGAGAGGGGGGAATGGTGTAACAGATTCACTGTTACTACTAACACTAGGAATAGGATACACTTATCACCTGCTATTATCACGCTGCTGCTGGTAGGTGTTATGTCCATCATTGCTTGTTCATGTATATAAGAATGCATTATGGCAAGGATCATTGCTTATTCCAAGAATGACTACTGAAGTTAGTTGGACTGTTACATGCATGTGGGCGGGAAGGGGTGTGTGTATGGTGTGTGTATGTCTGTGCGTGTGTTTCTGTATGTGTGTATGTGTGTGTGCCTTTTGCGCGTAGCCTTGTCTGAATCTGTCTTTCCGTGTGTCCTTGTCCGTGCTGGTGTCTCTCCTTGTCTCTTGTATCGGTGTGCTTACTTCTCTCGCTTTCTCTCTGTTTCTCAATGTTTCTCCTTCGCAGGCCGCTATCAGTCTACGACATCATCGTATGGTGTTTCCCTGCTGTTCATTTTCTGTGTTGTTATGGAGGTTGAAGCAAGCCGGGAAAATTTGATTGTCGGAGTTAAAGTTGGCACGCTTACTTTGTGTTTACTCGTATTCATCTTACTGTTTTACTATTGTCTACTGCGTCTAAGTGTGCAGGCTGTTATTGATGTAGGCGCTGGCGGAGTTGATCGTGGCGTAGATGTTGGCGTAGATGTTGGCGGAGTTGATCTCGAAGCAGAGGTCCAGGCAGATGCTGGCGATGTGGATTTCGAGTCAGGCATTGGCAGTGCTGAGGGTGACTTAGAAGATGGTGTTATCATCAATGCAGATGCTGGCAATGTTTATTACGTGGCAGATGCTGCCAATGTTGATCTCTATGCAGATGCTGGCAATGTTGATTGATCCCCAGGAAGACGCTGGCAATGTTGATTTGAAGGCAGGCCGTGGGTCTATCATCCAAGCAGTCCTGCAGGTTCCTGCAAGCTTTTAATGTGCCTTTCCATAAGTCTTAGTTCATTGCATTTTCTCTTGAAATGAAAATGAAGGTGGCAGTATGTCCAGACACCACTGGTGGTGCCACTGACGGATCACAGTTTCGAATTTTATCCGGTATGTTGTGCCCGTTTTTGATCAATTTCCCAGTCCCTTGTTTTAGGTTTAGAGGTGAATTGATGTACCCATTGTCATAGTTATCTAGAAATAATAGCGTTTTACGAGCTTTTAGACTTGGTCATGATAAAACAATCACGTATGTGAATTGACGTTGTACATGTCACGATCATTGAAACACGTCATGTCATGTCACGATCATTGAAAAGTTCGGCTGACGCATATGCTATGGAGAGAATCATAAAGGTGTCTATTCGATTGTTTCCCTTTTAGTTTTATACATGTATGTTACACAATACAAATACATCTACTTCTTACCCATACAAAACGCTCATGTGGCCCTAGAACACCAGGATCATATGGGGCATGTTATCATGACATTCCTCCATTCTGAAGTCAACAATGACCAGTTGTAGCACTGCTTGCCATTGCTTGTCTGACCTTTGTCGTTAGTTGCCTAAATAATAATTGGATGAATTTTGAGGAAAATCGCCAAAGGTCGTATATCTAATATGGTGTTATGGTGTTATGAGTCTCGTACAATGAAATCCAACAAAATGTCTTTAGATTCACAGTGCATGTGTCCATACTCAACATCTCCCATCAATTTTGGACCAGAATATTCATTTTCAAAATTGCCATTTTGGCCCAGTGGGGGATGATTTTCCGGTCAGGGCTGAAAGAGTTAACAGGGCACAAAACTGACATGTTACTGAGACATTCAGCGACCTGGGACCTACATGTAGCTGTCACACACCTCCAGTTCGCAAACCAAGACTGCCACAGCTTTCCAGCTTGGAAGGTTCAAGGTTATGGTAGGACCTATGAGGGGAGGGTGAGGGAAGTGAAAATGTGCACAAGCTAAATCCCACGGCAACAAAGATTGCCAACTGTCACAGGACCATGACGTTAACAATAACAATCACGACAATGCGGTCTAACTACAATTCGAAGCAGCAAAGCAACACACCACCCAACTTGGGAGGGTCAGCAATATCAGAGATAAAGAAAGGGTAGCTTTGCGAGCTAGGTCTCAGGTCGGTGATTGTCTCAGTAACGTGTCAGTTTTGTGCGCTGTAAAGGCACTTTCTGACTGCTTATTATCTTGTTTACATGTCTGCTACTTCACAACAGAACAACAAGGACAATCAAGGCTTGTTTGCTGCTACTTTAAGTTTCATGCTTACGCAATCATCAGGCAACATGAAGATCGGGTGCCGACCATGCCGGTATATATGCCAGGAGAGGGTGGTATAAAAAGCTGTGTGAGACTGTGGGGGCTAGCGCAGTAGCGGTGATGTTTTAGGCAGGGGGCTGTGTGCAGAGTGTGTGGTTGTTGAAGGCAGGGGCTAGCAGTGCAGTGTGAGCGCGAAGTGTGTGGCTGGTGTGGGCAGGAGGTGGTGAACAATGCGTGTGGATGTTGTAGGCAGGAGGCTGTAGAGCTAGCAGTGTGATAATAGCGCAATGTAAATGGGTATGTCTGGTGTGGGCAGGGTGTTATGAGCAAGGTGTGTGAACGTGAATGGTGTGGGCAGGAGGCTGTGGAGACATGTTTAGGTGACACCGTGGTTTTTTAGGAGATACTTGTTCTCGTGTCGGCACTACACGCGAGGCAGTCACTGCTATTCGGAGCTAACCGAACATGGGCAAAGAAAAACAGAGACGGGCTGTTCGATGTTACCATGGGATCCTTCGATGGCGCTGAAGCATGTGAGCTGGTCGGCGCCTTCCTCCTGGGTAAACTCGAACAGCACTTCAGTAGCGGCTCGGTAGGCCTCTACAGAGACGACGGGCTTGCCGTCCTCCGTAACGCCACTGGCCACAGTGCGGACAAAGTACGGAAAGCTGTCATCGACACCTTCAAGACGCTGGGGCTAAAAATCACGATAGACGTCAACCTGAACGCTGTTAACTACCTAGACATCACAATGAGCCTCTCCACAGGAACCTACCAACCGTACCGAAAACCCAACGACACCCCACTGTATGTCAACGTCAACTCCAATCACCCACCGCAAGTCCTTAAGAACATCCCAGCTGGAATTAACAACCGACTGGCAAGCATCTCCTGCTCAGAGGCGGTGTTCCGTGATGCTATCCCCATCTACGCGGAGGCCCTCAACGCCAGCGGCCACCCTAGCACGCTAGAGTTCAAACAGAAAACAAGCAAAAAGAAGAAAAGGAAGAGGAAGGTGATTTGGTACAACCCGCCCTACAGCCGTAATGTGAAAACAAACATCGGTGGAAGATTCCTCGCGCTCATTAAGAAGCACTTCCCCCCGCAGTCGAAGCTCGGAAAAATATTCACAAAAAACACCATCAAGATAAGCTACAGTTGCATGCCAAATATGGCTGCACGCATCAAAAGCCACAACAAAGCGGTCCTCTGCCCGCAAACGAAAAAACCGGAAAAGCCCTGCAACTGCCGAGACAAGCCATCTTGTCCACTCAACGGTGAATGCCAAACGACGGAGCTGATATATGTGGCATCCATAACGTCAGGCCCCACCAAAAAGGAATACACCGGTATGTCGGCGCCACCATTCAAGTCACGCCATGCCAACCACATGACTACAACAAGATACGAGAAGTACTCCAGCTGCACTGAGTTCTCCAACTACATCTGGAAGCTGAAGAAATCCAACGCCCAATACGAAGTCGAATGGAGGATAAAAGATCGCGCCCGGGCATACTCCAACATCACGAAGCGGTGTTCCCTCTGTACCAGAGAAAAGTATCACATCCTGAACACGCTAGGGTCACCGTCCAGCCTCAACAAGCGCTCCGAAATGGTGTCCAAGTGCCGACACGAGAACAAGTATCTCCTAAAAAACCACGGTGTCACCTAAACATGTCTCCACAGCCTCCTGCCCACACCATTCACGTTCACACACCTTGCTCATAACACCCTGCCCACACCAGACATACCCATTTACATTGCGCTATTATCACACTGCTAGCTCTACAGCCTCCTGCCTACAACATCCACACGCATTGTTCACCACCTCCTGCCCACACCAGCCACACACTTCGCGCTCACACTGCACTGCTAGCCCTGCCGTCAACAACCACACACTCTGCACACAGCCCCCTGCCTAAAACATCACCGCTACTGCGCTAGCCCCCACAGTCTCACACAGCTTTTTATACCACCCTCTCCTGGCATATATACCGGCATGGTCGGCACCCGATCTTCATGTTGCCTGATGATTGCGTAAGCATGAAACTTAAAGTAGCAGCAAACAAGCCTTGATTGTCCTTGTTGTTCTGTTGTGTATTACGCTCTGCCTTTGTGGTGTTGAGCACTGTCAAGCACTCTGGGTACATCCTTCGGTGTCTGCTACTTCAAATGCTTTGTGCTGCCTGAGGTTCTGTATGCATCCAATGCTCATGCCCCATATCTATCTGTTCACCAGGAGCTCCGTCTGGAAAGGCTCTTCAAGCGCGCACTGCGTGCTGTATGTAAAGTGCCCCCATGGACCCCCACTGTTACGCTGCTTGAGCGTGTACATGTTAGGGTCCGGCGGATTCTGCCGGCAGAAAAATTGGCAGAATTCGGTACTTTTTCTAGTAAGTTTCCTGCACGTTTGGTATGTGGATAAAAAAATGGAGCGGAATTCGAGGAATTGCCCGCCATAAGGTTTGTATGGTTCTGCCAATTTCACTGCTTTTCGAGCAGAATCTGCCACCTTTTCGAGCAGAATCTGCCACCTTTTGGAGCAGAATCCGCCGGTCCCTAGTACATGTCTCTCCCTTGCGCGCTACCATTCAACTACTTGCTCTGCTTTATATGGCGTTGTCTAAACTCTTCAGGAAGTAGATTGTTTGAGACTTTTTTTCGACCTCTTTCGCCACGAAGAACTCGAGGAGGCAACAGTAACCTGCTTATCGTCCCTGCCGCTGCTTCTGCACATTCTACCAAATTGGTGACACATGCGGGTGCAGTTCTCTGGAATTCCCTCCATGCAGATATCCTAGGCATCACCAAACAGGCCGCCTTCAAGTCAAGCGCTTTGCAACACATTCTTGCTTGTTTTCAGCTTTACGTCCATGTTTCTGTAGCTGTGCTGGAACGGCTCTATTTCGCCGCCACTATTAACCATTAGCCATGTCCCCCCCTCCTCCACCACCCTACACAGTGGGTCCATTGTTATTAGGCCCTGGCGGATAATGCTCGAAAAGGTGGCAGATTCTGCTCAAAAAGCAGTGAAATTGGCAGAACCATACAAACCTTATGGCGTGCAGTTCCTCGAATTCTGCTCCATTTCTTTATCCACATACCAAACATGCTTGAAACTTGCCAGAAAAAGTACCGAATTCTGCCAATTTTTCTGCCGGCATTATCCGCCAAGGCCTAATTGTTATTAGGCGTCTGCCTGTTTTGGTTTCTCCACTATAAATACAAGAATACTACTACCACATGTATAAACTATAATTATAATACAGTTGTAGAAAGTTGCTTCATAACTCGTTTCCATGTGATTTTTCTATTTTTTAAACTACACTGTATATTTTATTGGCTCAGTATCCGAGTTAAATGTTGTCTTTTTCTTTCCTTCTTTTTACAAACTCTATAAGTCTAGTTCTGTGTTTTCCAAATTTCAAACATTTACTGTGCTGTCCTGAAGAGAAGGGAAATAGAACGTTAGATGCATGTACATGATGCAGACCAATAGTTGTGTCTACTAGATTTGCATCTTTGCATGCAAAGTTATATTGCGAAAGTATTTTTGACTGCCTCCAAACTACCGCTTAAATTATGTCTGTTAAATAACTCTCTCGGAGACAGGAAGCTTATCAGGCACAGAAAATCTACAATTCTCAAGCTATCCATCAGTCTAGGGACCGGCGGATTCTGCTCGAAAAGGTGGCAGATTCTGCTCGAAAAGCAGTAAAATTGGCAGACCCATACAAATCTTATGGCGGGCAATTCCTCGAATTCTGCTCCATTTCTTTATCCACATGCCAAACATGCATGAAACTTACCAGAAAAAGTACAAAACTCTGCCAATTGTTCTGCCGGCAGAATCCGCTGGACCCTATCCATCACCATCATGATCAATACGGACTGCGAAATTCATGAACCAGTTTTCGGGCATTCTTTTGGAAATAAAAAATTACTGCTTCGAAGTGTACAAGCAACCTGAACCAATAAAACATAAGGATAAGTATTAGTTGCATCACAAGGATGTTAACCATTACATCTAGGTGACAAAATTAAAACCCTTTATTGGCTGGCCCATACATTGATCGAACACCGATGTTCGATGGAGTAGGCATTTTGAAAGTATCGTAACTTGATCATATCTCGGCCTTTTGGAGACGTCGTTATAATTATGAAGGTCGAAGAGAAAACTCTCAGGTGTCTCCTCGAATACTACTTAGTCTAGTAGCTGTCAAAGCGATAGAAAGATCGGTTGTTGAGTTATAGCACTCGTAATGTTGGTCTCTTGAAATTTGCGCTCAGAACCCTGCTCCACTGTTAAGGTGAATGGACTGTGCTTATGCATG